GTTCTCTTGACAAATCTGCTTCTCATTAATATCAATTAATCGATTTCTGGTATTAGCATACTTGTAACCGAACTTTAAATCAACAAAAGTGGTTCCAAAACGCAATGGCATGCAGGTGAGAAACTCGCCATCAAAGAGAATTCCCACGAACAAGTATTACGGGTAGTTCGGGTTCAATCGGGAACCAGTAGCTTATGAATAAGCCCCAGTAAAGAAAGGAGCAAAAAAAAATCCTTGGGGACACTCTGAACAGAGACGTCCTTAACAGTGGGGCTTGCCCCTTTAACGAGTTTGTCGGCAGACCCATTCGACAGGATTCGACATGCAACCGATCCCCGGCAAGAGCACAGGAAATCACCTACGACGCTCCAGGCAACGCTATGTACACACGCAATTCCGCTTGTAAGCCGTTGTCTTGCAGAGTGAAAGTAATCGTGGTTGCAATGGTTGCAATAATCACGCGTCTCTAGCTTCTTTATCTCGCCGTTTCGAGTGACGAAAGTGGTATATTCTCTGCGAATGCGGACAACGATGCCAAATGCATGAAGATGTTTTGCGGACCACTTGATCGCGGGAACTGTCTTTGAGTTCACCAAAAAGCTACCACGTTAGCGAGGCACCTTTTCGAATTTTGAGTCGCGGGTCAGAAACCTAGTTTCGTTGTAGCACCACGCATTGCCTGATCTAGGGGCATGGCATCTTTACCATTTCTACCTTAACCACTTTTTTAAGGCACGTGGCACGATAAATTCCTGAGACATAAGGGATTAATTGCACAACCACACGACGAATTCGGCGCTCTGAGTAGAGCGCTGTGCCGCTCTTTCCTCAAGAAAGGTACTTCCTACACGCCCTAGTCAAAGCATACCCATACATACAAACCCCGAACGCCCATCTTATGCCGCTCGCCCACAAAAGTTTGAAATTATTCTGATGACGTACGCTTCATTTGATTGGCAGTTACAAATGAAGCGAAGTACTGATATGAAAGCGGCTGCGGTGCGCATGGACATTGAGTACATGCCTTTCTACGCTTCAATCATACGTCTGTTTCCCACTCCAACCCGTTTGCAATAGAAGACTTTACGTACGGACACAGGCATATCAAATGTGTTAATAATTTTGGATCAGTATCAGTAAAGTGTGCGTACGGGGAGGGGGGATTTTTGTTGTCGCTCGCTGACCTGATCTCAGCTGAAACTCGTGACTGAATAGGCCGTGGAAATATTGCAAGCTAATTGCTACCAGTATTACAGCTCGTCACCTGACAAGAGCCTACAGGTCTTTACCACGGTGAAAGTAGTGTTGTCAGTATCTAACAACAGAAAACTAAAGGAATGGCGCAAATGACAACCATCCCCGCGGGGCCTGCCCCGAACACAGCGTCTGGATTTATCGAAAAGTAGTTGTACTAATGAATAAAATTGCATCTTAACGATACATAACTCGAACAAGAGAACTTTTCAGCCTTTTTTCGCATCGTTTGCCAAATCTACCTTTTTCCCATCCACTTCCGGTTACTTGAAGATGTTTTGCCAATGCAGTCTGACTGTTTGGTAGACAAATTGGAATGGCATCCTTTGTGCTGACATCATTTTTCAGTTCCAGGATTGCAAAGTCGTTTTTATTAACCATGAATTCATCGTCCTTTCCTTTTACGCACCGTTTCCACTTGCTATCGAGAATAACCTGAAAAACTGAGTTCAACTGAAGAACGCTATCGAAGGACTTCAGCGAGATGCCACTAATAAACCAACCTTGGCCACTGGGTATGTCGTTTTACATTTTTCGGGAGGATTGCAACGGGTCCCGACATAAACGATGAAATCCTTTGGCACACTTGTCGAAGGTTCGTAATCACTTATTCCTCCTAGACACTCCAATTCCGCCAAGTCGTGGTCAAAATTTGTTGCACAATGTGCTGCTGTAAGAATGTGACGGGAAGAGATCAGAAATCCGCTGCAGGGTTCTCGGTATGAGTCTTCTGAAAACACCGCATCAGATTTCTTATTCGACGATGTTCGGCTTAGAGGGGGGAGGCAGTACTCCTACTGGTTTCTTCTGAAAGTCTCTGTCAAATTACACGCCTCACCTAGGTAAAACCTGTAGACTCCTGTCAAGTGCAAATGAGGCTCATGCCAAGCTTTACAGGACATTACACGTCTCAACAGGTGCCATTGGAAGTGAACGATGAGAACCAGCTGAATGCTCCTCCCCCAAGCCCATTTTTTGGTTCATTTTTTCTGTGGCTGATTATTGCAAGACCAGCAGTGATTCATTTTTCGAGAGAAGTTCGTCTGATCAAAAGATGTGCCCAAGCCTGATTCAATAATAAATTTTGCCCAAAACTCTGGCTTCAAAAGAACTCCAGATGTCAAAAATAGCACTTTTGACGCCTTCGCTCAAAACTCACAGAAACTGGAAGCGAAAGCCCCATAGATCGGAAGAGCG